GTGGTCAAATGGAACATGGCTCAATCTTTATCTTCTTTGTTTCTTTTGCATAGACAATTAAGTACTAGTTAATTGTTTAATTAACCCCTTAAAAAGTCAGTTGGAAGAATCTTATCTGATCATTAATTCTAATTAAACCATTTAAACAAGAAGTCTTGGTTGACACGGCTGTTGGGATATGACTCAGGAACTAATGGGATTTCTACCCCTGGTATTGCCATGGCTTCCCAAGTCCACATTGTCCTTGCTGCAAGGGGAGAACTTTTTGCGTGTCTGAAAAGGGCAAGACGACTAAGCGCGTGCGTGTCGATGAAATTGACAGACTATAACAATGATCATAACATGAAGAAGATCATGTCACGCTAAGGGAGAGACTTAGCTAGAGACTAGAGAGTTTATGCAAATTTGTGCTACTCTTTTTATCTCTCGCTCTCACTCTGGCTCTTTCTTGAATTAGGTTGGGGGAGTTGGGACCGCCACTTTCTCAAGCAAGACCATGACCTTTCTAATCTTCAAATCATAACTCAATCCTCAGTTCACATGCTCTATGCAGATTCCAAAGTGAAGGGTGTTTTGCAGGGTCCAAGATACACTTTCTCTCTAGGCGAGAACCAGGGAAAAAAAAGGGGTCTTTTGCGCAATCTCAACCCTTATAAAAAGTTCAACAAGCTTTTTCACCACTCACTCTCTCTGTACTTAGGGCAGATTTTTGCTATTTTCTTTTCCTTTCTTCTTTAAGTCACAGTCCCTAAGGTTTCTTTCTCTATGTCAGTGCATTGAGGGAGACAGCTAATGCAGAGCAAAGAGAGAAAGAGCTATAGGGAATTAAGAGGGACGTTATATGTGCTTGGTGAAAGCTAAGCATCAAACCCACTTGCTCACTTTTTCCCCCTCTCCTTTGCGCTTTCTCTTTAAAGAATCTAAGCTGACTAGTATTGAGCAAGGATTCTTCTCCAGGTTGCTATTATCTTGAGAATTAAGTGGAACTCATTCACACCAACCATTTTTCTCTTCCACTCAAATTTTTTTTGGCACCATCGCATGCATGTTACTTGCTCATTATTCCAAGTATATGCATGAATATTATTGGGAGCCCTTTTGCATGGTTTGCACTTTGCAGTTCGAGTGGGAATTTTCAAAAGCCCTCTTGTGGAAAGTCCTCACATGTTCTTGCTTTGAACTTCATATCCTTAGTTTGGACCAATACATTGCTTCTTCTTTGGCTTTCTTTCTGATTCCCTTTCTGTCAATTTCTACCCAATTCTCAGTTGAATGATCGGTATATATACTAACACTCCTCCATCATTTCTTAAAGATTAAAAGTAACAAAGCACCCAAGAAAACAAAAGCAGTATCATGCACTCGGGATATTGTAATAGTCTGGTCAAAACATTCACCAAGTTTCTAAATCAATGCAAAGAGGTTAGAAGGTTGGCTTTCTGTTTGTCCTCTCGAACTGTGCTGTATATATTTGGGTGCTTAATTTCTTTACATATAAAAAAGGAGCAAGTTTAACTAGTGCAAACATACGACCAAGAATTTTTGTGTTATAATGAATCTTCGCCCTCTTATTTTGATTAGGTTTGGAGTCATAACTTGTTCAGCTCGAAATATTTAGAACTTATATATCTTTTGTTAGGGCTTAATATCTCTCTATATATAGTGGTGGCTGTTCTGCCATTATGTGCCAGTGATAACAACTTCAACGCTAGCTTTTGTTTTTCCTTTTTTTTTTTATTTCTCAAGTTCAATTTGGTTGGTCATATTTTTATATTATCTCGAAATTATCTGTTTTTTAAATTTAATTACATTTTGTAAGGTTAAGAGAAATTTAATCGATCGTGTTTATATATTATTTTAAGATTACTTATTTTTTAAATTTTAAAAAAGTATATTTATGAGCTTCAACCGGCTTTGTCGACGAGGCAAGGGTGATCCTTGTTGGTCTTCCTTAGAGATGATCATTATGCTTTTGGAACTTTCTATGAGAGCAACAGTTAAGGAGAGTGTTCCTTCAATATGGGCCTTGGGCCTAACTCTCAACAGTGTGTCAGTATTTTCTCTGCTGTGGCTTTTATTATTATTATTATGTCCTATGATCTTGATTTCCACTTTTGCTTTCCTTTTAAGTTAATCTTTGGTAGGAAAATAATTTGTGAAAGAGGAGAATATTACAGTTTAACCTTGAAATCAATGAATCGGGATAGAGTTTAGGAGGTGACGGGTGGTGACGATAGTCACTTTTTAATTTTTTATTATTATAAATATAAAATTTAATAAATAATATGATTACTTTTGTAATTATTTTTTAATCATTTCTTATGCAAAATCCTAATTCATCGTTGTCATTGAATCGCATGCTAATAACCGGCTGATGCAAAGCAAGCCTAGTCTATCAACCTAGTTAAATAGTGCAAACATTTAGTATGATTACTTTTTTTAATCAAATTAATAAAAAATACCGTCAAAATTAACTGAATAGTCTGAAAATGAAATTGTAACCGATTATTTTGGTTAATAATCAAATTAATCAAATAATTTATAATATTATTATATATTATAATAATAACAAGTTTAATATTATTACATAGATTATAACTTATAAATTATTTATATAGAAATTGCTTAATTCAGTTAAGTGAAAAAATCTTCCAAGCCAAAAGCAATTGAATTAATCAATTCAATAGTGTTTAGTTTCGAATTAATCGAACTTTTTTGATTAATTTGAATTCAATCGAAAACTTCTTAGCCCTTATTATTGAATAGAAGTTGTTGGGAGATGGCTTTGACAATTTTTCGAAAATGAAAAAAACATAATTTCTAATTGCATTGGTTTTAACTTAAATAACAAAAAAAAAAAAATGAGAGCTTCATTCCCGTATTCCACCAAAATTTTCCTTTTCTATATTTCAGGCTTTTTATTTGGTACTCCAAGATCCAAAAGGAGTAAAGGGCCGGACACCTTTAGGTTTTCATGCACAATTATGGTTTGAAGGATTTTGGGCTTTTAATTTTCCAAAAAACAAATTGGGCTGTGATGGGCTTTTCTCTGAAATGGGCTAACCAAGAAATGCCCTAAGAATTCGCTTGGATCCCCGGTGTGTTGGTCCAAAAGCAAAGGTGAAGAAAAACCCTAATTTCCTTCATCATATATAAATGTCTTAACCTCGTTTTCGTCAAACTTTTTCCCAAGGCCCTGGCAGTTCTAGGGTTTTTGCAGCAGCATCAACAGAAGAAATGGTATTATTATCAAATTTGAATTCAGTTTTTTTTTTTGTTCACGTTGGTTATGGAGAAATTGAAATTGATTGTACGAAAGTTTGATTTGTTGATAGGGAAAAGGAACTGGAAGCTTTGGAAAGAGAAGGAACAAGACTCACACTCTCTGCGTTCGATGTGGACGCCGAAGCTTCCATCTCCAGAAGAGCCGTTGCGGTGCTTGTGGCTACCCTGCTAGCCGTATCCGGAAATGTAATCTTTCTTTCGCTTCTTCGCTTCAGATTTTTCGAATCCATGTATATAACTGTAATTTTAGCTCTGTTTTTAGTTGCTTAGCTGAACTTTGATAAGATAGGCAAATTAAATAATTCACGGTAATCATCACACGAAACTTATTGTTGTTTGTTTTCTTGTTTTGGATTCAGCAGATCATAAAACATTTTCCATGTCGATTCGTTTGATGTTTCCCGTCATTTCCAAATCGTATTTTCTTGCATAAGAAATTAATATATTAAGCCATCTTTGATTGATTGTAAATTTCATTGCTTTGTCATAAATGGGTTCCTGGATTTATTGCTGATTTCTTTCAGTTTACTTTGCTCATCTAACTTTGCATGCTGAGCTGTGGCTTTTTTTTGGCAACATTAGCTCGTTTGATTGATTTGGTGAATTGGTTTTGTGTATGGCTTTAGATAACTGGAGTGTGAAGGCTATTAGAAGAAAGACCACCGGGACTGGCCGCATGAGGTACCTCCGTCATGTGCCCCGGAGGTTCAAGACTGGCTTCAGAGAAGGTACATGATCTTCTTACTGAATCTTATGCTGTTTGAACTGAAAATCTGTGGTGATTGGATGATTTGTAGTGATGGGATGTTCTTGAATTATTGTCAGGTACTCAAGCAACTCCCAGGAAGGCGGCTGTTGCTGCCTCATAAGTTCATCGTGGGGCAATGCTAGTGCACTTTGTTTTGAGATTTACAAAGAAGAAGTTTCTGTTATTATCAGTTGTGTGTTATTTTTTGTTTTCCGAGTAATCCCTGCAAACTTTAAATTTTGTTTCATTATGAATTTAAACAATTTTATTTTGATTACTGAGTATAATTTACACTCTTGTGCAATGTGTGATAGTATAATTTATGTCATTTCCATGTTACTTTTTAACACATCTGGTTTTATTCGGATTGACCATTTATGGCATCAGAGGGCTTTGGATTTTGTATTTTCCTTTTGGGCCAATGGTAGACTCAAGCGTCACTCTTATTGAAGAAAGCATCACAAGGGGTAAATCTCTCTGGGTTTAGATTCTTTCTTTTCGGTTTGGCCAATGGCCGACTCAAGCAGCAGGATGATCTCTTAACTGATTAATAACAATCGTTGGGACAGCCCAAATTCATCTCTCCAATTTAGCCCAAATGCAGCTCAGGTTCAACAGCATATGTTGCATGTATTGTTTGGCATCTCGAGCTGAGTAGATTTAAATAGTTGTATAATTGCGTTCCTACAAATGTGTATGGCATAAAACGTCCATAGCTTATATTAAACACCTTCAGCTACAGGATAATTGTTGCTAATGGATATATAAAAGAGGTTAAAAAATCCACTAAATTGGCAACATGCGAGTGCTTGATTCTGCACTCTTTCCCTTTAGTGTTTCAGCCGGTAATGCCGTAGTTGAGCCATGTTTAATATTCTCTCATCACGACCTTGGTTTGTAACACTGCTGGTCATAATCCATTGTGGCGCAGTCTGGAAGAAGCTACGTATCAGCTCCTGAAGGTCACTCACGTTTTCTCAGGCCTTTTCGCTCCATTCTTTTTCTTCTTCCGCTTGTCACATTTGGTGAAGATCAGTGTCTTGGGGATCTGAAGACCACAAATAAAGGGTTAGGAGGAAAGCAGATAACATGCTTCATGAACAATTAGCATCCTTTTACAAAGAAGTCAGTACTCAGGATCAGCTGGCTTTCTTCTGCCGTCTTGAGAAGATGGTATGGTTGACGTATCAAAGTGGGTTGCATCTCCCTGTACTTTTCTCTTGTTTTAGGTCGAAGAAAATTTACCTGGTTCGGACCAAGCCAACTAGCATATTCAAGGTCAATTTTCTTTGCAGGAATGCTAGCATCTGTAAGCAGGAAAACTGAGACTAATGTTGAATGGTTCCGGAAATAGTCTTTGGAAAACTTGCTCCAGTCTGTCCTTAGTTCCTCAGGGGCTGCTGCGTGCCTGTTCAACAAAAAGTGTAATCGAATTGAACTCTGGCGGTAATGCCACATGCATAGTCCTCAACACTTGTAGTTTGGTGTAATCGAATATAGTAGCATAAATCTTTAAAAGCATAATGTTAACTTTTGGGGATGCATGGCTGCTGGATGTTAGTTATATAGAGCCGATTCAGTAAAATATGACAGCTTTGTTCCCCTTTGCACTCTTTAACTTAAGCACAAAAATTATAGTCTACACTTGAACAAGTTCTATGAAAGTTGAGACAAAAATATACTCTAGTCAATATTTGCCTAAGTTTGGAATCAATGAAGTCCTAAACAGCTAAAATAGTGAACTAATATATATAAGTTGAAAGTAAGACTTACTGATGGCAAAGCTGGACACTGTGTACTACAACCATTTTTTATTAAAACATAGAGGAAATCCTCTTGCCAGGAGAAATATTTTGAGAAAAGAATGTAATTAAACAACTGAGGTTTATAATTTAGATTCAAAGGAAGACAAACAAAATAGAGGTTGAAGGCAAGGCTCTCCTATCATTTGTCTTTAAGTGTTGTGTGGAGTGCCTGTTTCTACTTCATCCGGAGAGACAGGAATTACAGGGTTTTTGGTAAAGCTGGGAAGTCTCTCTCCTACTGGTATTCTGCTTCGTATGGTGGAATCTGTTAGAAATAAACTGAATGGGTTGAAACAAATAGCAACAGATCCTGTAATTAGGAAGTTATTTAAAAACTGGGGATTGGGTGATCATAAACTTGTTTGATTTTTTGTGCATGGTTTTCCCGCATTGGTAGGATGTCTTTTTGTAACAGGTCAATTCCTTGGACAAATACAAATTTACTTATAAAAAAAATAGAACTTGACAAAAATACTTGTTACCATCAACTTGGGCAAAAGAAGGGAAGTATTATACTCGATATCTTATTTTTTTAGTACTATTTGCATCTTAAATAATCTCAAGCTGTAATGGACTTGTCTTAAAAAATAACTTTGAAAAGAAACTTAAGCTCATATATAAGTAAAGGTTATGAAGTGATAAGACGGCATTACCCAGGGATTAAGAAGCATTTACATATGAAGGGTAGAGGTGAGAGGCAATATGGGAAAGACCCTGACAGTAATATTTCTGCATGAATCTGTAAACATCATGCAAGGTAGCAGTGGCAAGCTCCTACAACCGTCCAGGTAGCAAATTCCTACCTCTCGTGAAAGAAAGAAAGCCATGCAACGATACGATGCATGTGAGCCGACAGCTCTAATGTACTACGCCTCCTTATGAGCCGTTACGGCTAGTGCCCTTGTTATTCCCGATGATGGACTATGCCTTGTATTGCTTTTGCTTGAAGAAGAAGGAAATATATGTGAAGCTTTCTTCATCTCGAGCTATTGTTTTTAGAATTGATTTTTGCTGTTGCTTTCATAAATCTTTTCACATCTTATGCACTAGAAACTGGTAATCGGTAAATCTAACTATATTTCCACTACAAGATTAAAAGAACAAATACATATATAAAATTTAGATTACATACACTAGATCAACAAGGACTAATTAATTAACTTTATTTAACTAGGTATTTCCTAACCATGTCAGAAAATAAAGTTGCTTCAGTCTCCCAAAAGCAAGAATTACAACAAGAGAGGTTATCCAATGGATTATATTTTGCTTCCCAAGCTTGGCCTTGATCTGAACTCAAATTGTCATCAGAATTGCAGCTGAGTTTTGTGTTGTGGACAGATTCTTTTGGTCTCTGCAAAGACACACGAACCCACATCACGCTCAACATCTTGTTAGTTTTATTTCTTGTGCTAGAGCTCGTGCGATCGAGAGAAGACACAATTTGAAGACCCTTTTGTTTAAGCTCACCTCCCAAACAAATCAAGATAATGCCATACACATATTTGGCTTCGACGTGATCTTTCTCGACTGCTTTCTTTAAATAACGCAATCCTGACTCCAGTTTTTTCTTGCTAAAAAAATTGAGCATCCCTGTTCTATATAAGGCTTCTGCATTCTTGGCGTCTTTGCATCTTTTTAAAAAGATTTTCTCTTTTTTATACCACGGAACAGGACTGATATTCTCCATCGAAACATTCTCAAAGATATAATTATCATTGGATGCTTCAAGAAAAGCCTTGCAACTTAATTTAACACTGCGGAAATCAACAATTGAATTAGAAGCTGCATGTCTAAGAATTTCTGCCAACATCTCCCTCGGAAGAGACTTGATATTGCTGGGTTTTTTCTTCATTGTATTCTCAATTAACCCTGCAATGCAAGAACGTGAAAAGAAAGCTCAAAAAAGGTAAGAGGAAAGCTAGTCATATATAGGAAGGGCAAGAGGTGGACTCGGTGATTGTTGAGGATTAGGAAAACAGATATCCTAATTTATCAGGGATTAATGCAACGTTGAATTTTGACCACTGATTCTATTGGTCTTTTTCTAATTATTATATTAATTTTTTAATTTTGTTTCGGTTGATTATATATTTTAATAAAATATGTGACAAGTTTTAATACTATTTGTAAGTTTTATTTAGATAGTATCCCTTGTTAAAAATAAATAATTTATTGTTTTTTTTCTTGTCTTTTCCCTTTTTTTTCAACCAGATAAATTATGTGGCATGAGAAACATGTTCTACCGGTGCTTTTTTTATGCTTTTATTAGAATTTACAAGTTATATCTAAAATACTTACGCATGCTGGGGTCAAAATTTTTAATATTGAAAAAAAATATTAATGAAATTATATATAATTATATTTTATTGACTTTCAAATTGAAATTACTAAATAAAAAAGAAATTTTAATTTTTACTTACATAAGTTAAATATATAACTTAACTAATAAATATCCTTATTTTAATATTAACTCAATCCCATAAATAACTTTCAACTCTAATTTTCCTAAACGTTAATTTTAGTTTTTTATATTCACATAAATACTCAAAATTTTAGAGTACAAAAATTTAAGTACTTATTCTCATAAATCAGCGATTGAGTTAATGTTGATATACTTATAAAGTTGTTGTTTATTAGAGTACTTATTAGTTCAATTGAATTATAAATCTATTATATTAATTATAATCGATTAATTTCATTTAATAATTTAATTTATAATTCCTCAAAAGAAATTAATTTGTGAAAAATTTACATTTCTAAAGTGGTTTCGTATAAATAATGTAAAAAAAAAGAAATGAAAAAGGAAAAACAAAAGAAAAAGGAAAGGAAAGGGAAAAATTGTTGTTTTAACAATGTCTCATGAGAGTGAGAGTCACTGTTAAGGCAATAATGACCTATACTCTCTAAGCAATAAGATTATATATTAATTAATAAATTAAATACTTAAATGTACTCAAAGCCCTTTTTAATTATATCTATTTCTTTTTTTTTATTTGGCATCATAAAATCATTCGTAAAGTGTAGCAAAATAGATTACTTAATAAGTGAATATAAATCTTGAAACATTTACATCCCAAGTTCACATTTCGTTTGGTTGTTTGTTTATATATTTGTTTATTAATTTCTTTCATCAATGTAAAATATTGAAAGTCATTTCATTGCTAATGTAATTATTTTTATAATAATCTTATAAAAAATAATATAAATAGTTTTCTTATCAAGAGATACATATACGAGCATTTGATTTCAAAATAAGTGTATATATTTCTTATTGGTTAAATTATGCAAGTAGTCTCTATATTTACAGAAATATGAACAGAATCCTTATATAATAATTCATATAAATTGAACTTTTATTTTTGATTTATTAATTTCAATTCAACTTATTTTGATTTGTTTTCTTGCTTTAGATTCAGCAAATCATAAAACATTTTCCATGTCGATTCTTTTAATCTTTCCTGTCATTCCTAGATCGTTTTTTCTTGCATAGATGGTTATTATATTAAGCCATCTTGGATTGATTGTCAATTTCATTGCTTTGTTATACATGGGTTCCTGGATTTATCCTGATTTGTTTCAGTCCATCTTGCTCATCAAACTTTGCATGCTGAAACAGTGGCTTCTATTGGAAACATTAGCTTGTTTGGTTGATTGGTGAATTTTGGTTGTGTATGGCTTTAGATAACTGGAGTGTGAAGGCTCTTAAGAGGAAAGAACACCGGCACTGGCCGCATGAGGGACCTCCGTCATGCGCCCTGGAGGTTCAAGACTGGCTTCAGAGAAGGTACATGATCTTCTTACTGAATCTTATGCTGTTTGAACTGAAAATCTGTGTTTGTTGTATGATATGTAGTAATGTTCTTGAATTATTGTCAGGTACTCAAGCAAGTCCCAGGAAGAAGTTTTCTGTTATCATTAAACAAGAAATTTTGATTACATAAATCCTGATGCACACAGGCTAGCTTTTGGGGCTTTGATAGCATTCCAACGTATGAGTACGGCATAAAACGTCCATAACTTATATTAAACAGCTTCAGCTACACGATAAATTGTTGCTAATGTACATATAAAAAGGTTAAAAAATCCACAATATTGGCAGCATGCAAATGCTTAATTCTGCACTCTTCCCCTTTAGTGTTTCAGCCAGTAATTCCGTAGTTGAGCCATGTGCAATAAAATCTCATCACGACCTTGGTTTGTAACACTGCTGGTCATAATCCATGGTGGTGCAGTCTGGAAGAAGCCGCGTATCAGCTCCTGAAAGTCAGTCACATTTTCTTCAGGCCTTTTCCCTCCATTCTTTTTCTTCTTCCGCTTGTCACATTTGGTGAAGATTAGTGTCATGGGGATCTGAAGACCACAAACTAGGGTTAGGAGGAAAGCAGATAACATACTTCATGAACAATTAGCAACCTTATACAAAGAAGACCGTACTCAGGATCAACAGGATTTCGCCTGCTGTCTTGAGAAGATGGTACGGTTGACATATCAAAGCGGGTTGCATCTCCCTATACGTTTCTCTTGTTATAGGTCGAAGAAAATTTACCTGGTTCTGACCAAGCCAACTAGCGTATTCAAGATCAATTTTCTTTGCAGGAATGCTGGCATCTATAAGCAGGAAAACTGAGACCAATGTTGAACGGTTCAGGAAATAGTCTTTGGTAAACTTGCTCCAGTCTGTCCGGAGTTCCTGAGGGGCAGCTGCATACCTGTTCAAGAAAAAGTGTAATCCAATTTAACTCTTGCAGAAGTGCCACATGCATAGTCCTCAACACTTGTAGTTTGGTTGTAAGAATATAATAGCATAAATCTTTGAGACAGCATAATATGCTCTTTTGGGGGTGGCTGGTGGATGTTAGATAGAGCCAATTCAATAAAATATGCCAGCTTTGTTCCCCTTTGCACTCTTAGCTTATCTCAAAAGTTATAGTTTACACTTGAACAAGTTCTATGAAAGTTAAGACAAAAACCAACTCAAGGCAATATTTGCCTAAGTTTGGAATCACATGTGAAGTCCTAAACAGCTAAAATGGTGAACTAATATACATAAATTGAAAGTAAGATTTATTGACGGCAAAGGACACAGTGTCATGCACTAGGAAAGACATATTACAACCATTTCTGATTAAAACATAGAGGAAATCCTCTTGCTGGGTGACATCAGTCCACAAAAAATTTGAGGAAAAGAATGTAATTTAACAGCTGAGAGTTATAATTTAGATTCAATGGAGGACATGCAAAATAGAGGTTGAAGGCAAGGCTCTCCTGTCATTTGTCATAAGAACTGTGTGGTGTGCCTATATATACTTCATCTGGAGAGACAGGAATCACAAGAGTTTTTGGTAAAGCGGGGAAGTCTCCCAAGGGTATTCTGCTTTGTATGGTGATATCTGTTAGATATAAACTGAATGGCTTAAAACAGATAGCAGCAGATGATGTGAATAGGGAGCTATTTAAAAACCGGGGATTGGGTGATCATATACTTGTTTGACTTTTTGTGCATGGTTTTCCACCATTGGCAGGATTTCTTTTTGTAGCAGGCCTATCCTGCTTTCTTTGAACAAATACAAATTTACTTATAAAAAAAAGAGGTTCAAAGAGAACTTGGCATAGATGCTTATTACCATCAACTTGGACAAAAGAAGGGGAGTATTATACTCGATATCACTTTTGTTAGTACTATTTGCATCTTAAATAATCTCAAGCTGTAATTGACTTGTCTAAAGAAATGAACTTAGAAAAGAGATAAGCAAAGATTATGAACCAATATATTGATCTCTCACCGTTTAAAATTGAAAAACCTAATTCATCTAAGCTCTAGCCCCAAATTAATCATTTGAGAAGGGTACATGAATTCTTGTTTCTCAGGACAGTTAAAAAGCCTAATGAATGTAGGTTTCTAATATTCCACAAATGGGAAAATCGGATTTATACAAGCAGCAGAAGTCAAGTAGTGTTTGTTTTAAATATAGCATGTTACCGTTTATACCAGGTGTAAATATATAACAGACTATATAGGACAAGTATATAAGAGGCAATTGGTAAAGCATACCCATATCCAGGCAAATCCACCAAATACCAATTATCATTGATGCGGAAATGGTTGATGCATTGTGTCTTCCCTGCAAGGATGAAAGTACTACTAGTGGTCAATACGCACCTCCTCACAGACTTTGAAGCTAAAATGAAAAACTTTGAATTGAATGAACCAATAAAAAGCCTGTCTCGATCCTAAGATTACTCCTTTCCCAACAAGAATTGAAAAACCATTAACACCAAGAAGCTTAACACTAAACTGCTACTACTTAAATCCTTATTAAATCTGAAAGCGTAAAATTGGATACAAAAATTTGTTGTTTCTAATACCCCTCCTGAAATGATAAATTGACATTAACAAATTACAAATATCTTGTTATGAAGCAGAAGCAGACATATTAACTTTAGAAGATTCTCGCACAAGAAACATTCCAGTAGCCTAAGGAAAAGAATAATGATACAGTAGCACATGAAACCCTCTCTTACCAGGTTTCTTAGACGTGAGAGCAAGGCGTTTCCTTCTTACAAGCGAATTGAGAAGCGAAGATTTCCCCACATTAGACCGACCAACAAGCGCAAACTCAGGCAATCCATCAGAAGGACAATCCTCGGTCCTCACACTACTCTTCACAAACTCAGCTTGAACCACTTGAGCCTCCCTTGCATACTTGCTCACCACTATGTTCGACCCTTTCAAGATTCTTGTACTTAAGTTAGGATCGTCAAAAGAAACCTCTGTCTCTGGAGGAACAAACAACTTGTCCAGTGAAATCTCCACCCGCGGCTCTTCTGGGACAGAAAAATGAGTGACGGGTATTGGCTCAGCGGTTGAAAGAGTCGATTTTGGAGCAGAGAAAATTGTCGGGCAAGTCACTTTGATGGGTAGTTTTGGTTTGGGGAAAAAATTTAAATTTGGCGGCGGTCCCTTAAAGACCAAATATTGAAATCTTGTAAGCTGAGTGAGAACCATCACTCTCTCTTGCAACCAAACCGATGAGTAGTTCTTGTCATTTGCTAGGCAAAGCCGCAACGGCAAGCTAAAAAATCTGGGCCGAGGCCGATATTCTTGAGTTAAAACGCACCGGTTTGTACCCGGTAGGAGTAACACAGACATAGATAAATACGCCAACTTGTTAAGGGAACGCTGTCGTATGGACTGATAAACACTAAACGTAGAGGTTTTAAACGTGTCATAAAACTGTAACTGTCTCATCTCTCTTAAACTCCAATTCCAACAACTCTTGTCTTCCTTCCTCGGCCGATCAG